GAATTACCTGTCTAATCAAGTTGTACATGAATGCAGAAAATTCTTCAATGTTTATAAATCCTAACTCTTTCATTTGGTTTTATCAACTTAATCTATCACCACCTCTCAAGAGGACTTAGTCAAGGACCCAGTGGAGAATATTTGTACATGGCAGGTGCATATATCTATTTGAAATGGCTTGTAGAAATGTTTGATTTTTTTACCTCATACCTATATCTTGCCCACTGAAAGTTCTCTCCTTCAATTAAGTTCTTTGGTTTGTAGACAATCTATATTTTCTGGATTGTCTTCCTCTCCCTCTCCCTCTCACTGTTCAGATTAACAACACAGTCTGATGAGTAGATGACTTGCAGATCTCCGTTAGCAAGAAATGTATGTAAAGACAGTACAATTTTTCCATTCCTATCACATGTTCTACATGCTTGCTATTTTAATTAGTCAGAAATCAGTTATACTTTGAAATACTATAGGAGTATTTTTCTTGGCACTAAGATGCACAAGACAAAGCAGACTTCTAAGCCTTAAGTATTTAGAGGGAATAATGCTGCTCAGCGCTTTGCTCTCTGTGAAATAACATTTCTCTGAGTAGCTGCTACCTTATCTATTTTGTAATGTCACAGTAAGTCTCCTACAGTGTTTCAAGAAGGCATAGAAGTTTTGTTTCTGTTCTTGCCTATTTATCTGCTGAGGTGTGAGACTATCAGAAAGAAAATGACTAACTTGCATGTCCTTGATGCATATGAAGAATTAAATGGCTTATCCTGTACCTTTCACAGCACAAAATATTAGAGAAAGACTGTGTATACAGGCACTTCCATTAACTACTGTGATCTAGCAACACTGCTCCCTGGAAACATAATACTGTTCAGTTTTTTGTCTTGCTACTTCTTCCCTTCTCTTTACACATCTCACAATATCAGGCATAAAATGGTAAGTAGTTTAAGTTTTACTGATATTGGAGGACTTTTTGTCCATGAATTTCAGTTTTTAGCAGATGATTGAACGGGAGAGAGTATATCCTCAAACATGGGTTATGTTCCTCTGAAATGCCTTACATATTGGGCTACTATGGTGATATACTCAGATCCCTGCTTAACTAATAGATAGCAATGTTACATCTTTAAAGGTAGTCTTTTATTTATAACCTTGACAGTATATGTACAGAGTATATTTTGATGCTGGCTTTAAGCCATCTTTATTAATCCTCTTCATCTTGGACTTCCCCAGGGATTATCTATAGAAGTATGTTTAAATTGCACAGCCTTCCCAGTTTTCTGCAGAGGCATAGAGCTTGTTAGACTCACTGCAGCAGATACACCCTCACAAGAAGCCACTTCAGTTTTTCTCAGACACTGTACCCTGTTATCCACATTGGTCGTCGGGTATTCTGGGTGCATGCTGGGGCAGGACCTGATAGCTACTGCTCAGGATTATGACACCAGAAAACCCTGGACTGATCTACATCCCACTGTGAAGTTTTTAAGCACCAGTGGACAAGCACGTACAGCTATGCTTAAAAAATCATTTAATTTAATGAGTAAAATGACTGAGCTACACTGTATTGTAATGCACACTGGAGTAAAATCCACTGGATTAAATTCTTACGGCAGTACACTACAGAACATCTACAATGAGGGGCTTCAGAACCATAGCTGTCCTGATGTAAACAAACAAAAAATATTGAACTCCTAGAAAAAAAGATAATAAAGTTCAAGAGATTTTAATCTATCCTGATCTTTGACACGTCCTCTGATTTTTCCTGAGTTAATTCTTGTTTGAATCAAGCATGCTTTTACAACCCATTTAATTTTAGCTAAACAGTTAAAATGGACAACCACATGTTCTGTCAAAAGTATGAAAAGCTACACTTGTATAGTTGTTGGATTTTCTTATATGTGTGTCTTTCACACAGAAGTGACTTTTATTATCACGTATATAATATTCTAATATCTTCTGTGTATTGGGTTTGACTGAGATGGAGTTAATTTTCCTCATAGCAACCCTCAGAGTTCTGTGTTTTGTATTAGTAGCTAGAAAGGTGCTGATAACACACCAGTGTTTTGGTTACTGCTGAGCAGTGCTCCCACAGCGTCAAGGCTGTCTCTCCAATATTTCTTCCTCCCTGCCCCACCCCAGCAGGCTGGGAGTGGGGAAGGTCTTGGGAGAGGACACAGCCAGGACAGCTGACCCAAACTGACCAGGGGGATATTCCATACCATATGACATTTGCTCAGAAATAAAAGCTAGAAGAATGGAGGCAAAGGAGGGGGCATGCGTTATTTACAGCATTTGTCATCTGGAGCAACCACTAAAACCACTATGCATACCAAAAGCCCTGTTTCCCAGGAAGTGGCCAGACATCGCCTGCTGATGGGAAGTAGAAAATAAATATTTTTCTTTTCTTTTGCTTCTGCGTGTACAGCTTTGCTTTGTTTTCTACTAAACTGCCTTTGTCTTGACTCACAAATTGGGGTTCTTTTTTCCATCTTATTTCCTTCCCTCCCCATCCTGCTGAGGAGGGGGGTGATAGAGTGGCTTAATAGGCACCTGGCATTTCTCCAAGGTCAACCCACCACATCCTGCTTCCATTTTTTAAACAAAAGCATAGAAATAGTCTTTTTGTTTTCTTTGATATGGCAAGAATACCAGGGCTTACTGAAAATCAGTATTAAAAGTCCAAAAGGCTGTTCAGATTTTTTTTTAGATCTATTTGTTAAAAGTTACCAAGAGTTGCTGATTAAAAGTATATGTCATTACTGGCTCTTGTTTAATATCCTATTGAGTTGCTGTTGAAAGTATTTTATCACAGTCATGTTCTGACATCAATACTTGATCTTTCTCCAAGTATAGAACTATGCTGAGCACTATTCAATATAAAAGATACACTTATATTTACATAGAGCTTACACTGTTAAATGCTACTGTATTTTTATGCAATACTATTGATAACTCTACCTTTGCTACACTAATAGTGGACTTGTTAATATTTCTTTTATTCTTGATATGAGAAGTGAAAGAGTACTATTTATTACCCATCACTCCACTGACTGATGATTATGCCCTTTGTTTTCTTCCTACTTTTTACAAATTCCTAGCTTCTAGTTTGCTATCAAATTCTTTCTTTCTTTCATCTGTTATTTTGTTTTCTTATTATGTTTGCTATAGTTGCTTTCACATTTACTCCTAGCTGAGCTGAATGTGTAATCTTTTTTTTTTCAGTTGTAATTCCAGCAGAACATTATTAAATTGTTCCCAACACTATCCACATTTCTTCCATCTAAATTGTTTCTGCAGAGATTTTGACTCCTAATTATTTCAGGTCTATGATGCTGGACTTTTAAAACAGCAATGCATGTATGTGTGTGTAAATACATCATTCCTTTGTCAAATAAAATTACAAAACAAAGATATTAATTTACTGCATTTTAGTTTTGTAATCAATTCCTCTATCAGTCAAGATGTGAATTAAAACAGGCATTTGTCACTTGTGCCTCTGAGATTCTCTCTTTCTGTGCCTTTTAGTGTAAATTCCCAGGGATGACAGTATCTTACTCTGGGAGCTGGAGAACTCGCAGTGATGGGGGGGTTGTATAGGTTGGGGTTACTTTCAGCCTGTATTTCCTTTTATGATCCCAGTCATTTACAATGTTTCTGCTGTCACTGGTAACATGACTATGCATCAGTCTTTGTATGGGATTTTATCCAGTCCTCTCCTCAATTTTTTCCCAACCTGCTCGCCTTCACTTCTCTCCAGTAGGGCCTTAGTAGAGGTTCTGCACTGCTTTTCTACCATATATCACTGATTTTATCATAAAATAATACTTGTCTCCTGTAGAAAAAAACAATATATGCCATAGCTCTGCAGATTCTTTACATGTACTGCCAACATTGTGGTATAACGGTGTCAAGTTGGCTTTGTTAATTTTCAATACCTTATAAGAAACACTAGTAAGCATTTAAGGAACTTACCTTTTCCTAAACTTCATATTGTTATCTGCAGGGCTTAAAGCCATTTTGGTCTGTTACCTGTTCATAGTCTCCACCTGAGGTAATGACCGATCTTACTTTGGCTCTTATTAGGTCCTTCCATAAATAAAAAATAAACTCTAAGCAGCTGGGAACTCATCTGTTTGTGCCAGTGGAAGACAGGGGTTTTTTCTGCTTTAGTTACCTCATTTAATGACATTGTTTATTCAACATCCTGAAAATGTAACATTAGTGAAAATGCTGCAGAACTCAATACAGATTCATGAACATTACTGGTATTTACAGCCTCATACTGACTTAGGTTATTTCCAATGGAAGGAGATTTTTTAAAAAACAATATTTTTTAATTATATTCAATGTTCAGAAACAAATGGGAATAGCTTGATGACCTTCTTAATAAGACTTTAACCTGAAATCTTTTCTCCTCCTAATGTAGGTCAAATAAGCTCTTTATTCTGTGCAGATGACTCTGTACCCTTATTTAATTATTCTCTGGATGTAGCTATTGTTAAACCCCTACAATTTAACACAGTTCAGCACATATTTCCAGCTGCTTACAGGAACACACTGGGGAATGTGCTTTAATATCACTTCACATTTATTAAAATATAAATTCTTCCAGAGCAAGGATATGCTACTGTCATGAATTAATAAATTTTAATAATAAAATGTATAAGTGAAAAATCAACCTATAGAAGAATATTATTAGAATGTTTTTGTATGATACTGCTTGCATTTGAATAAACATGTTGGATTAGGTATTTGCATACATGGTAGTAATGAGTGCTAATGGGTCTACAACTACACAGAGATGAAAAACAAGAAATGTTGACAGCTTTTTTTATTTCTAAAAATAATTATTTCTAATATAAATTTCTATTATTCTAATGAAATATTTCTAATTTTTATATATTTCTAAAAAACTCATGAATCTACCTCAAAACAGGTCTTTAAAATATGTCACAATGCTGAAAAAAATTTACTTACTCCTTTTTTCTCCCCCTCTCTTGTAGATATTTTTAAACGCAGATACAATCCGTCTGGGAAATCTACCAGTAGGTTCTTTTTCCTCCTCCTCCTCCTCCTCCTCCTCCTCACCCAGCTCTTCAGCCCCTCGCCAGACTATCTATGAGCTCTGCGTCTGTCCCAATGGTAAACTCTACCTGTCCCCAGCAGGAGCAGGCTCCACATGTCAATCCAGTAGCAACATCTGCTTGTGGAGCTAGAATGACTCCAATTTATCCTCACACCAGAATAGCCTTTTGTTACTATCCCTCTGCTTCACAGTTCTGCTCGGTTTCCCTTGTGACAAGTTCGATGCTTCAAATGGCCTGCAGAGCAACTTCTTCCACTGTAAGCAGGAATACACCGCTGCCTTCTCTCGTGGCTTGTGTTGCCACTCAACGAAGAGATGGGAGTGAGATATTCAGAAATCAATGTATTCTTCATCAGGAAACCTGGAACATAATATCACCTTTTGTCCAAAAGGGAGAATAACACAGGTGCCTTTGCTACATGAAGTGAAGCACATTGTTTTAGATTTTTGCAGGACCTGGATATAAACTGCTCGTATATATATATATATATATACAGTACATAAACAAATTTGCCCAGAATCTGATGGTGAGATGAATTGGTTCCCCATGTATCATAAATAACTTTACTGTCTGAAAGCACAATTTTCCATTCATCTTTTTGGATGTAAACTTTTATCCCTGAATTTTAAAATTTTGAAGCATTGTGTGATGCTTGCTTTACTAAACAAATTCAGTAAATGTTTTTTAACACAAAAGAGACAGAATCCCTCCCTGAGTTTGATTTCTTTAGAAGTGTGTTGTTACTCTTTGTCTACTATATCTAGGGTTTTGTACACTAGGCAAATTTTGGGAGTGCTCAGCAATATTACCTTGCAGAGTTAAAAAGACATTTGCTTTTGTTTGTCAGATCTGAATGGCCTTATATAGTATTTTCATGGCTACTGCATGTGAAGCGACTGCTTTAAGTAGAACATACAGTTTCTGGAAATGAAAAACAGGGTAAAGAGGGAAATATTGACGATATGATTGTTAATCAGTGCATTGCTCTTCACAAGGTATTTATAATTGGCAAATGCAAAACCAAGATAAAATCTTCAAAGGTCCTTCTTGTCCCTTTTCTAGCTGTGTCTGACTGCTGCCATCTGAACACAATACAAATGCTAGTTCTAACGTAATGTGTAATGCTGAGAAGCAATGCACTAACAACTGGTATGATATCCATACTTATTATTCCTTTTCGTTTAGCATCTGCTGCTAAGGTTTTCAAAGTAAAAGTAATATACACAAAACCACATATTAAATGACATTTAATATTAAAGAAGTATATTGATATTGCATTGACTTTATCAAGTCTGTGTTTAAATTGTGCAGCCCCATTTACACTCAAATCTCACTAATACCTTCCTTTTTTGACAAGTTTGATATAGGATTTCTTTCTGGAATCAATGTTCATACTTGTTTGGCTTCATTGGTAAATGAAATCTTATAAGAAATGCTTTGGTATGCTGCTAGTAAATTTATCACAACATTGATTAACAAGAGTGTCTTGAAACTTGCAGAACCCACGAATGTAAAACAGTATAAAAATGTTTCCTATTGTGGAAGATGGCTTGATTAAATAAGGTAAGTGTGTTTTTTTTATTGTTGTTTATTCTATCCTTTTAATTAAATTACCTAGCATATACCTTTAGTGGCTTCTGAATATAAGATCACCAATGCAATGATGGCTTTTGCAAGGCAACTCTAAAGTCAGGGCAGACAGTGTAAGGTGGATATTTCTACGCAATATTTCTTTTTTTCTTAGAGAAAAAAAATGAAAATGAGCAAACTAATACTGTGATTACCTTTCTACATTATTGCCACCTGAAAAGGTTGATTTTGTTTTCACTTCAGGTGAAATTCACTCCTATGCAGCAGACCAGTACAAGAGCTGTTCATGGCTTGACTGGTGCTTGCCTTCCCATTGGCCCTCTTCAGAAGTGTGAATTTCACCCCATCTAAAGAATTCTATATTTACTGTTTCTACCAGTTAATGGAAGATTTAAAATTTATTATCTCTTCAAAAGAAGGCTGTTAGCAGCTGATTTGTCATTTATTGTAGAATTTTATTCTTTTACTTGGAAAGAAAATATATTAGAAAATATATCCAAAAAATATATTGGAATCCTGAGAATTTTTAGTAAGAGGGACAGAAAGAGATAAGAATAGCAAAGAGGGTGATAATAAAACATTAGAATGTGTAGCCATACAATATACCCTTAAAAATGTAGAGAAATAGATGTCTTTTTCTTATGCACACAAGTAATAGAATGGTACTGTGAAAGGCACGAGGATAAATGTTTTTTCAGGAGGTAAAGTATATAGATCTGTGTAAGAAAACTTCTATATTTATTCATTAACTATGCACACCTACATATGCTGATTACTTAAAAGATGAAAGAACAGGTTATAGTGACTGATCTATCTGATGAATTAAATTTTGTCTTTTTTCAAATTGCAGACAAGTAGACTAAGATTTTTTTTTTCTCCCAAAATAAACCCACAGGATGGCTTGCAGGTACTTTGTAATGAATTTCTTATTTGTTTGCTCTTCACCTTATGAGATAACTTGCCTGTAATACATACAAAAATGTTTTCTGCCTGCTGGATGCAAAGACCAGACCTTTATAAATTTCACAAAACTTTGAGTGGGAGTTAACAGGTTGAAAAAATATATTTTGTTACTAGATTAATTTTAACAGGAAGGCTGTAATAATTTACTGTTTCACATGAAGAGTACTCAGGGCAGAGTTGCGGATGGTACATTGGAGTCAAAACCAAGCCAGTAAGTCCACATAAGTCTACACTGTCAGGATTTTCTTGCTTGGAGTCCCTTCAGTCTGAAGTAGAGAGTATTTGAGAGCTTCAGCAACCTATGAGATAGCATAATGAGTTCTCATAGTGTCTTAACATTCTGATGAGTTTCATAATATTGATATTTTACTTTAAATCAATTGAAAACTGTAAGAAAGGGGAAGTTTTCATTTTAAATAATATTTCTAGCTCACATGATTTTACAGCATATTGGAAAAGTTATTTCAACACATTTAGAGAACTAAAAAAATCAGAACACCAATAATCTGTAAGCAGCACCAACATTCCTGAGTGGGAGGAGAAACAGACACAGTGTTTTTGAATGTTTGGAGCTGGTAAGAGTGAAAACCCCAATCCTAGATCTCTGCCACTTATAGTGCACCCTAAACATATCAGAAAAAGGGCGTCATCCCACAATGTCATTTCAGATGGAAGGAAAATAGAAGATCTCAGCACAATATTAAAACATGGAACCGTAGCTGTGCTACTTCAATGCTGGTTTCATAATACTGAGGTCACTGTGTACAAAGGCATAGGAAAATTTCAGATTATTTTTGGCCACTTATAATGTCTAGCATTCAAGTTATGATTAAGCCCCAGCTAATGTTTCTCTAGGTAGAGTACTTATCTGACAGAATATTTTGATCATGTATATTAGAAAAGAGATGTCACTTATTCTTTTAAGGGAAGAGTTTCCCATTAACAAATCACTCTGTTGTGACAATTCTAGGGA